AGAAATAAATAAAACATTAAAAATTTTTTAAAAAATAAACTTAAAAATTTATATATAATCTTAAATATTCAAACTTAATAATGAAGGGTATTAGAAATAAAGCAGGAAGGGGGTGCCTGGGTTGCTCAGCTGATTAAGTGTCAGACTCCTGATCTTGGCTCAGGTCATGATCTCACAGTTCATGAGATCAAGCCCCAGATGGGGCTCTGCACTGACAGTGAGGAACCTCTCTCTTTCTTCCCCTCCCCTGCTCATGCACATTCTCTCTCTCTCTCTCTCTCTCTCTCTCTCTCTCACATACACACACACACACACACACACACACACACTAAATAAATAAAAATTTTAAAAATTATAAAAAAGCACAAAGCAAGATCTTGCCCATTGACTGGTAGGTAGCGTTGTTTTGGGGAGTGACCCAGTCTGTCTTACCTCGTGCCCAGACTTCCTACTACTTCAGGAATCTGAGCTTTTTCTGATTTTGAGAGCTGCTTTAGCCCACTGCCAGCTGTCCCCAATCTCTAAAAGATAGACCAATGTCTTTATCCTAAAGTATTTATCTAGTATTTAGTTTATTTATCCTAAAGTATTACATTTTTTTCTTTTAGTTAAGAGAAGAGGGGGCACTTGGGTGGCCCAGTGGGTTGAGTGTCTGACTCTTGATTTTGGCTCAGGTTATGATCCTGGGGTCACGGCATCGAGCCCCATGTTGGGCCCTGGGCTGAGCATGGAGCCTGCTTGGGATTCTTGCTTGCCCTCTCGCTTGGCCCCTCCCTTGCTTGTGCACACAATCTCTATCTCTCAAAAAAAAAAAAAAAAAGAAGAAGAGGATATTTAAAATGTACGTTTTTCTAAAGAATCTGAGTACCAAAACTCAAAGAAACAGAGAATATATGGAAGTGCGGAAAGAGAATGATTTATTGTCCCAGCTTTCCCCCCTTCCCCCATCTGGTTTCCTATTTGCAGTTATTTGAATTTTTAAAATATCCTTAAAAAAAAAAGACAAAGAAAGAGAATGATTTATAGAGCCTTAATACATTCTAATTAAGTCTAACCTTAATTTAGACTACCTGATCCCCTGGCTGACAGATTTCTTACTCTTTCCTTGCCTTCAACCTTCTCAACTCAGGGTCATGCTGCCTCAGTATAATTTCAATCTCGTTATAAACTTCTAGTAGACATGTTTTTCTGATTAAAAGCTGTATCTCCTCCCAAAGATTTGAGGACTATCTCTAGCTTTCCACTCCTTTTTAGAGAGCCGACGGCTATCCTTTTTTAAGTTATTGAATGACGATGCACTTCATCCCTCACCCTCTCCATCCAACAACTGTGTGTAAACACACGTATCCAGAATCTCACTGCTCCATGTTTTACAGGTTGAATTACCACTTGGGCACTTGGGTCCTCTCCACTCCCAAGGGGAGTGGTTTTAGTTGATTGCTGAAATAAGCAGTCATTAAGGCTCAGGAAGGTGGACTCTATCATGATATGAAATACTGAAATACAACTATCCAAAACCAGCCTTAGTTACCCAGATCAGAAGGTAGGAAGGCTAAGAGTTGTTGTCATTCTAATGTCTGTTCAGGTACCAATTAGTGGGCACACGAGACCAAAGGTGCATTGATGGGGAGTGGAGCAGTGCACTGCCAGTCTGTGAGTTGATCCAAGAAGCTCCGAAACCAATTCCACAGACTGAGTTTGAGAAGGTGCTTGTAAGTAGTAGGTTTTGTCTGTCTCATTCACAGTTGTATCTCTGGGACCTAGCATCACTCCTGGCACATACTCAGTATTATCTGTTCACTGTGGGGTGTCTTTGAAGGGTTGGCCTTGGACTGATTATAGAAGGGAGATCATAAACTATTAACTCACATTTTTACATAAGAAGTTCTCATTCACTACCATCATCACAAACACCTCATGAAGACGGGTTGGTAGGAGTTATTGTCTCATGGACTTTATAGAACGAGTTTCATAAACTCATATCTTAGACTTGTATATATTGTTGTGAAAAGTCTCTAAAATTCTTCTAGTTTCCAAAAAACACTGAACAGATCAATTTTCATAGAGATCCCAATTTTATATCCCTCTTTTTTTTTTTTATTACTGGGATAATAGTAAGTATATATAAGCTAGAAAAATTTAAATGATTCATCATGTTGAAGACCCAGATCAGGGATCTAAACATGACTCATTAGCTTCAGAGTATACAGCTGGATCTCAGTTCTTAAGTTGTAACTTACAATTTTTTTTCAGCTTGCCTTTCAGGAGAATAAAGAACTTTGCAAAGCCATACAGAACTTTATGCAAAGACTAAAGGAAAATGGCTTAACAGTGGAGGAACTAAAATATTCCCTGGAAATGAAGAAAGTTCAATTGCAGGCAAAAAATGGTGCCCTGACATTGTAGCTGAGCAGACTGGGTAATAGAAAACCATCTATGAATAAATTTTCCTCTTGGTTCTGAAACTGGTTTCCGATTTTTCTCTCATTAGACTGAAACACAACTTCACAGTAACCAACTGCAGTTGCATAAAGCACCGTGTGTGTGTGTGTGTGTGTGTGTGTGTGTGTGTGTTTGTGTGTGTGTGTAAAAGAGAAGAGAGAGAGAAAGTGTGAGTGTGTATGTGTGCTGCTCTTATGTGGTGGTTGTCTGTTTAAGACCAGAATTAGCAGCACATCAATGGGGAGTGAAGGGTTGAATTTCCTGTCTGTACAGAGAATGGAAAGCTCAGATCCCAACTATGGGGATGTCTTGTATGTTAATGAGACACAAATGGTGAGGCAAGAAATAACCTCAAATTAACCAATGCTTATGAAGAAAAAAATTAACCTGTCAATTTGAGAAAATAAGCTCTGAACAATTATATCCTTAAAATGACCTATTGAGACAAAAGTAGAGTTAGGACCTAAACTGTCTTCTGAGTCTCCCCTATATCCTGTTTATGAAACTACGTTTCTAAATCTTCTGTGGTAATATTGCTTACCACATTTAGATGAAACCCAGCCTGGAATGGTAAGTTTAAGATGGTGGAAAATAAGTGAACATATTTTCTTTTTCTTTTTTTTTTTTAGAGGGCAGAAGAAGCAAGAATCCTAAGGTTTCCCTATCAAGATGTCATACTGACATGATATGACAGATTTCTCCCATCTCTCATTCTGTTCTCTACCAAAACACATAGGAAATCTGGATAAAATACAAAGAAAATATCTAAGAGAGCTTGAAATAATGGAACATCCCTAGGTGTAGTTATGAAGGAGAATAAGAAACTCTCAAGTAGCCTCCAGTCTATTAATAGAAACAAGACAGGTATACATATATCATCCATTCAGGGTGATCAGAATGTAATAAACACTTTTCAGAGAGCAATGAGCTTTGGGAACTCAGTGTCCATGAGGAGGCCTTCTGTCTGGGAGGAAGAGGCAGGAAAATTGTTAAGAAGAGTCATGGTTAATTGGGCCTTTAAAAGTGACTAGGATTGAGGGGTCTGCATGGCTCAGTTGGTTAAGCATCCAACTCTTGATCTCAGCTCAGGTCATGATCCCAGGGTTGTGAGATCGAGATTAACCTGTATACACTACATACTGTTGTGAGAGATATCTGTGTTCGGTCCCTCTTTCTCTCTCTCTCTTTCTTTCTCTCTCTTTCTTTCTCTATCTCCCTCTTTCTCTGCACCTCTCCCTAACTTGTACACACACATTCTCTCAAAATAAATAAATAATTTTAAAAAAATTGAGTAGGATTGAGAGATGAAAATTAGGGGAAGAGGACATTACAAGTTGGGAGAAGATTTAAGAAATGTAGCAAGAGAGTCATAAAGAGTCTTAAGCTTTTGAACCAAGTAAACCCACTCCTCGGATTAATCTAACTTGGGCAAAATGATTTTTAATTTGAAGCTGCTTGTGCTATTATTGCCTATATTGTCTATATTAGCAAGACCTTGTGAACACCTGAAATGTCCAATCTTAGGAAAATGTTTAGTAAATTATGGCACACCAAAGGTAATGCAGCCTTTGACAAGTGCTAATTATGATCAGAATACCTTAAAGATATAATCCTAGGTAAAAGTAGAATGCAGAATAAGTACTTATGATTGCATTTATGCAAAACCTTTTTTCTTGTAGAGAAGGGCCAGGTGATACCAGGCACAAATGAAAACAGTTATCCTAGATAATGAATTTCCAGGTGTTTATTCCATTAAAGTTCTTTAATGTTTTAAATTGAGTTTTCTGTCCCTCTGCTCTTCTCCCCCATTTGCCTGTGCTCTCTATCTCTAAAATAAATAAATAAGTGAATAAATAAATAAATAAATAAATAAGCAAATAAATAAATAAATGAGTTTTTTTAAAATGTTGTGCAGAGGCAGGAAGGATGGATCATGTTTTGGGGATGCACACGGTCTAGACTGACCTGAATAAAGCATGAGAAGTGATGAGAAAGAAGGCTGGAAAGATACATTAAATCCAGGTTATGGAGGCTTTTAAAGAGTATGTTAGAGAACTCAGAAGTGGACCCAAAAGTATACAGCCAACTAATCTTTAACAAAGCAGGAAAGAATATCCAGTGGAAAAAAGACAGCCTCTTTACAGATGGTGCTGGGAGACCTGGACACAACATGCAGAAGAATGAAATTAGATCATTTTCTCACACCATATACAAAAATAAACTCAAAATGGATAAAGGACCTGAACGTGAGACAGGAAACTATCAACACCCTAGAGGAGAAAGCAGGAAACAACCTCTTTGACCTCCACCGCAGCAACTTCTTACTTGACACATCCCCAAAAGCATGGGAATCAAGAGCAAAAATAAACTATTGGGACCTCATCAAGATTAAAAGCTTCTGCACGTCAAAGGAAACAACCCACAAAACTAACAGGCAACCAACGGAATGGGAAAAGATAGTTGCAAATGACACATCAGATAAAAGATTAATATCCAAAATCTATAAGGAACTCACCAAATTGCACACCTGAAAAACAAACAACCCAGTGAAGAAATGGGCAGACGATATGAACAGACACTTCTCCAAAGAGGACATCCAGATGGCCAACAGACACATGAAACGATGCTCAGCATCCCTCCTCATCAGGGAAATACAAATCTAAACCACACTGAGATACCACCTCATGCCAGTCAGAGTGCCTAAAATGAGCAAATCACAGAACTCTAGATGCTGGCGAGGATGTGGAGAAATGGGCACTTTCCTACACTGTTGGTGAGAATGTAAACTGGTGTAGCCCCTCTGGAAAACAGTGTGGAGGTTCCTCAGGAAACTAACAATAGAACTCCCCTATGACCCAGCAATAGCACTGCTAGGAATTTACCCAAGGGATACAGAAATGCTGAGGCATAGGAGCACATGTACCCCAATGTTCATAGCAGCACTCTCCACAATAGCTAAAACATGGAAAGAGCCTAAGTGTCCATCAATGGACGAATGGATCAAGAAGATGTGGTTTATCTATACCATGGAATACTACACGGCAATGAGAAAGAAAGAAATCTGGCCATGTGTAGCAACATGGATGGACCTTGAGGGTGTTATGCTGAGCGAAATAAGTCAGGCAGAGAAGGACAAATATCATATGTTTGCACATATAGGAGGATTAGGAGGAACTTAACTGAAGAACAAGGGGGAAAAGAAGGGGGGAAATGGTGGGGGAAAGGGAGAGAGGCAAACCATGAGAGATTCTTGAATGCTGACAAAAACTGAGGACTGATAGATGTGGGGGGGGAGGGGGGATGGGCATGGAGGAGGGCACTCGTGGGGATGAGCACTGGGTGTTATGTGGAAACTAATTTGACAAACTGTTTGTAAAAAATAAAAAATAAAAAAAATAAAATTAAAAAGATATAGCGATTCAACAGTTGACCAATTATCTTTAAATAATCCTACTTAACAAAATATACTGGAGTATTTTGCGATATAAAATATTAAACTAGATGAAGCTAGGTATACAAATTAAAATAAGAATGGTCCCCAATGAGCATAAACTCCAATAAAGGTTTTGCTAACCGCCAATATAACATAAGGCTGTATAAATAAAGACAAAATGGGAAATTATAAAATAAAAAAAAGAATTTAATGTTTATTTGGTAGGCAGTGAGAAGACATAGAAGGCTTTCAAGAAAGGAAGTGATAGGGATGGAACACAGATATCTCTCACAACAGTATGTAGTGTATATATGTCAAAGTAGGAAAAGAATAGAGGCAGAGAAACCATTTAAAGGGCTATTGCAGAAGACAACGGTTACCTAAACTGGGTGGTGGCAGTAGAAATAGAAAGAGAATACTAGACATGGGAGAACTGGAAACTCAAAAACAACTTATCAACTCATCAAACATTGGAGGATGAGGGAGAGGAAAGGTTTAAAGTTGAGTTTGAAATTCCATTCCTGGAAGCCTAGATTGATGTTGGGGTCAAAAGGTGAGGGTTCTGGGCAGGAAATGAAAAATTCCCTTTGGATGTGCTGGTATAAAGTGCTTGGAAGATGTCTGATGGGCAACAAAATCTGTATGTCTGCATTTACGAGAGTACTCAGGTATAAAGAGGTGGTTGTGGGATAGTTCTATTATAGGGAAAAGTTAACGCCATGACAGCAGGTACGGTAATGAAAGATATGAAGAGAAAAAGTTTTGAAAAGAACCTGGGACATATGTATATTTAGGGATGAGAAAGAGCAAGAGGAGGTAAGAAGAACTAAGGGCATTTAGTAAGAGAGAGGAATCAGGAAAGTTTAGGGCAATGTGAGCCAACGGGGAACAGTTTCAGAAAGGAGATTAGCAACAGTGTTAGAGGCTGCTGAGAAATCATAAGCTGAGTTTAAAAAAAAATGGATTTGGAGATAAGGACATGCCTGAAAGAGCTGTGTCCACAAGCGTGGAAAGAAGCCAGGTTGGAAGGCCACAGGGAGGGCGGGGGAGTGACTAACGAGAAAAAGTAGGCAGGAAACTCAATAGACCTGGGGAGGTAAGCACCTCATGACAGAAGAATAATGGCATTTGTGGTTTTAGCAAGATTTAGGGAATATTGTAAGATGAAAGACACCTGGAAAATAAGGAAAAGAACAAAAGAGATCTGTTCTGAAACAGGAGTGAATAGGAGAGAAACTTGAGGTGGGTAGAAGCTACTGTAGAACGATTGTTTAGTTGAGTAGGAGGCAATATCACCTGCCAAGAGTAAGACCTTTTCTTGACTTGGAGAGAAAAATTTGGAGCAGTCACTGTGGGAAGTATAGAAAAAGCACTCCAATAGATTGGGAAATGGAATTTTGAAGATTCAACTTTAAATGTGGTATTTCCTTCAACTTCGCTCTCAAGACTTGGCACAATCTGAAATCCTCCTCTATGCTCATTTTGGTCAAATCAACAAATCTGTCTCACCCTATGACTTGGCTCATGTTCTCTTTACCTCGAATAGCGTTCTCAGTTTCATCTAATAATTTCCACTTTTCGTTCAAAGCC